GGTGTTCCTCTGGTACTAATCTCTCAGGTTTAGGAAGAGACTTTCACTACATGTCACCTCAACCTCTTAACCCTCTAATAAGCATTAAATATACTGTTCTAATTATAGTTGGGGTTACATCCTGTCACAGCTTCCACACTCTTGAATTTTGGAAGTAATGACTTTAAGCACACGTCCAATTAGTAAACTAGGTTCCATAAAACCATAATTAGCCTCCACACTTGCCTTGCTAAAAGTAAATTATTAAACACTTGAAATGTTAGTCTAACGACTCTAACCCCTTTTCCTCCCAAAGCCTTCAATTAATATATAGTCCCACACTACCAGGTGAATATCAATCTTGTCGGCCTTGTTAATGTGCCAGATATGAACTACATTGACTGAAGATCACCAGAACTTTGCGAAAATCTAAAGATACTAATTATATAGGATGCTTTGAACAGCTCAATAGGCATTATATACGTAGTACAAGATACCGTTCACCATTTTTATAAATTATGGATGAATTGACCTCTATTTTTTCTGGTCCCCTTGCTCAACAATTGTATGGTGAAATTCTTTTCAGAGTTCTGCATGGTGGATGCTCCCGTGGTAGACTAGTAGCTATACATATCATGCAACCTTTTTTTTTCCCTCTTTAATATGGGTATCTGTAGTGTTTCATGAACTTGCCAAACTAAATTCTGGGTCTTTTTAATATGTTTCTTTTTTAATTGTACTGGCAGCTTACTGGTATCAAGTTCTTCTGTATTGGCTGTCATCATTATCAAAAAATATGTTTTTGCACTCGAGACAGTTTCATTTGCATAATTGTTTAACTTTCACCTTTTTAAGCACTCGGTCACCTGACCTGAGCTGTATTAATCATCAGTTTACTTGTCTAATCATAATCTTTATAGGCAGGTATGGAGAATTTGGCCATTTGGGGAGATGATCCATCATTTCATGAATGCTTTTACAGACCATCGTGATTCTGAAATTCTTGTTGTGAGGTATGTGTCCATTTTGCACATGATCACTAATTACTTGTGCCTTTTTTGAAATTCTGAAATTCTTGTGAGGTGTGCCTGTAAATCAGTTAGTAATAACTTATGCCTTTTTTGTTCATTCTTCTCTTTTAGCCACTTTTCTCTCTTATTGGGATGTGCGCTGCCTATATGGATATCTTCTGGATTTAATGATCGTCCACTTGCACCCTTTGCTGGCATTTTGAGCCTTGGAATTGGAGATACAATGGTAAGTTTTATATTAATGAAGATATGTCAAAACTGCTAATTGTCTTTTACAGTTTGTTTGGATAAAGAAAGGGGAAGGAAAAGAAGGGTAGGGAGGAGAAGAGGAGGGGAGGGAAGAATGATGAGTTTTCCTTCCAAATCTCTCCATTGTTGGAGGGATTAATTTTCTACATTTAATCCTTGCATTTCTCTCCCCTCCAATTCCCTCCCTTCCTCATTTGCTATCCAAATGAAAGATACTCCATCTCTCCATTTCTCTTCCCTTCCTTTCCCTCCATTTCCTTCAATCCAAACACACCGTTAGTGTTATGTGCTGATTATTGAACCTGAAAAGACAGTTTGAGGAAAAGAAAGCCTGCAAAATGAATTTTAAGTGAAGTGGTTGGGTATGATGTAGCTTAAACATCTGCATTTTGCTGACTTAGATATCTGATGTTGTTTTTTTCCTGTAGGCATCAATGGTTGGTTATAAATATGGTGTTCTGAGGTGGAGCAAGTCTGGCAGTAAGTTGTTATGCTCAGTTGCATTTGTCCATTGGTTGAACTTTAGATTTCTTTTCTGAACTTTTTTTATTTATTTTATTTTTAATGGTCTTCGGATGTGTTGTTCAGAGAAAACTATTGAAGGGACTGCTGCTGGTATAACATCAGTCATGGCAGCATGCTCTTTCCTCCTCCCACTTCTTGCATCGGCTGGATATATACAGGTTTGTATTGTCAACAAAATCAACATGTTCAGTTGCTATTCAATCATTCTTTGACAATGCATGAATCTACTAATACCCATATCAGATTGGCTAATTGGGTGATTGAAAATTGTGCAGAATTGGAGCTCACTTCTCTTGGCAGTGATAGCAAGCGGCTTGCTGGAGGCTTATACAGCACAACTCGACAATGCATTTATTCCATTAGTGTTCTACTCTCTTTTGTGTCTGTAATACAACACTAAGTAGACAAAAATTACTTTAGGCATTTCCTTGGATCTTTAACAATACACTTAGGTAGCCCCCTTTCATGTACATAGAGTAAATTCAGAGCTTCACTAATCGTTGACAATGCAAATTGGTATACAGAAACTATACGCTGTGCACCATAGAGCTCCACATAAGGTTTATGTTATTATTGCCTAGCTCGAAAATGCTGAAGGCTGTTCTGGTATTAGATGAGCCTTTTATGTATGTATGTATGTAGTGTATATTACTGATAAGTGAATCCATTAGTTGTAAAATTCATTTCTTTTTTGTACCGTGCAATGAAGTTTCCAGGTTCTACGTATTGGTTCTTATTCATAAATTAAATGTTTTTCCCGTATGTTCATTCATAAAAATTAATAGCTGAAAATGATATTGCCGGTTTGGCATGAACAATGGTAGCTCTAACATTAATGCTATGAAAAATATTAATATTGGGCATCGTTTGGGAACCAATGATAATAGCGCCTGCTGATTCATCAAAAGAGACAAAAAACGTTAAGAGCAGGGCAAAGAATTTTCTAACAATGTTCAATCCTTGTCAATGAACAGATAATTGGCAAGCTTAATGATACGCATATATCAGAATTCATGATTTTATTCATCGACGTACCAAAGTATTTCTAACACCGTAGGTTAAGCCTGCAGTCGAGTTTCAAGAATATCCAAACACATGCACTGAATAATATGCAAGAAATTCATGTTTTTTTTTTTTTTTGGTTAATATCAAGAAAGCTTTTTAGTAGTCAGCTACTCAGCTGGTTTAGCTTGAACAACATAACTCACTCAGTAAATTAGAGAGCGGTCTTAGAAGACTAATTCGCAAAAATTGGGCATCAATTCCTTAAGAAATCTATGCAATTTGTACTGAATTTTCGCTAACAGTACATATTGATAACACAAGTAAAGTACTTTTTTTTTTTTTTTTGAGGGAAGATAACAAAAGTACTACAATATTGCTTGGAATAAGTGTGGATAAAACGTCACAGATCACAGGCCTCGCAGCACGCAGGTAATCTAGTCGTGTTGCTATCTCATCTCATAGTTCTCAAGCCATAGCTTTACTCACTAGAGTTCGGAGTTGACAACACATTGTATCCAAAAATATAAAAAATATAAACATTGATTAACTACTGATGCTATCACACTTGATAGTTGATACACAAAACAAATGCCGATTACATCTGCAGGTTCATCAATGTTTCCTACGTAATATAACTCGTAATCTAAGTTGTGAGACTCAAGAATTGCTATTGCTGATCTGGTAAGGTGTAGAGTTCGATTTAAAAGAATGTTTTCCGTGAAGTTTCCTCCTTTGCTCATTCATTAATATACACAATTTACATCAATATCATCAGCCATAATTCACGGCTACAATGAAGGCAAAATACTAGGAAACAATAATCCTATCCTAAGTATAAGGAAACAAGATATATACTTGACTAAACTAATTATATACATAGTTATCTTAACACGATTATTGGCAGGCCCGTCTAAGGCCCTGTGCAACCAGCCCTACTGCACAGGGCCCCGAAAGTTAAGGGGCCTCATATTGAAGTTAAGGGGCCCCGAATATTTTGATATGTCAGTAAGAAAACAAAATGGAATTTGGAAAATTGGTTAAGCGCTACATTACTTCAACTATCAATTGAAAACTAAGGTCAGGGGATCGAGCACTTTTGTTAGTTGTGTAACTGCAGTTTTTTATTTTTTAAATTTTTTTTCCCATTTTTCATGTTAAAAAACTAAATTCTGTCAATCATATACGTACTTCAACTCTATCAAAACGGAGTAATGTAAGAGTTCTATTTTTTTTTTTTTTTTTAATTCTATCAATTCATACACTTATAACTTATATTCTATCAATACGGAGTGATGTGAGTATAGTTTTATGGATTGGAGTTCATGTTAATAATAAAGTTAGCGTGAAAAAAAATGGTATACTATAAGTCTATAACTTAAGTTAATAAAACGAGTACAAGTTTCCATATTTTAGCATGTCAAAAAGATCAAATAGCATAATTTGATAACAAAATTTGCGTGGTTTTTACGTTTAGAGGGCCTATAATTATTAATAGCACAGGGCCCCTAAATTGTTTAAGACGGCCCTGATTATTGGTTATGAAATAGTCAACATTCCTTCATTTTGGGCCGCGGGAACCAGAATTAATATCAGAGAAGAGACGAGAGGAATGTGAAAAACAGGCCAAAAACTTGTTTAACAATGTCAGATCTTTGTATATGGTTCTAGTAGTCTATAATCAAATAAGCAAATTAATTAATAGGACTTTATGTTTTTATTCATTAACAACTTGACGTACCAAATCAAAGAGCCAAAGATATAAATGTTGAAGTTGGGTAAGTCTATGACTTTTATAAGAGCACAATATAATTGCTCATTTATAGGAACAATACTGGTCTTCTTAATGCACCTTCTCCAAATAATGGTTAGCATATAGCAAGTTTTGAGCATTGCAACGTTGCTAATCAATTCTTTGTAACATTTTCCAAATCTTCTGTTATACTTTAAAGTTGAGAGCTATTCCCTTCACAAGGTTTGCTGAAATTAGGACATCAGTTTATGAGCATTTTATTGAAGATAAAATGGAATGACAAGATAAATCAAAACGAAACAAACCTAAAAAAAATACATAAAAACACACCAAAACAAAACCACTCTTGGCATAACCAACAATACAAGCTACTATCTAGGAAACAATGAACTGTTTTTACAATACAAAGTATAAAGGTAGAAGATAATCCCTAGATACATTGGAGTTGCATCTTCAGGTTCTTAATTCCCCCTTGCTATGCCGCTATGCCTTTGTCTTGATCTCTTCACTTTGATCTTTAACCTCCCTCTCCTTCCGAAAGTCTCCACAAACCAATCATGATGTTGATCAGTCACGTAGATTTTACCAATGGCATAGCCTATTATAAACCCACTTACACACCCCAATGATTTGATGATCCAATCAATGAGCTTCGAGTCCTCTTCTATCACATCATCATTTATTGACTGTTGTGGTAGTGATGATGCCACGGAGTCTTTCAAGCATTTCTTAGACAATGGAGCTCCACATAATGCCAAGTTCCCGGCAAAAGAACTATTGTCAAAAGTATTGAACTGTTCTCCTTCAGGTATCGGTCCAACCAGATGATTGTGTGAAACATTAAAGACCCCAAGAAAGGTTAGCTTTGTCAACTCTTGAGGGATCACTCCTGAAAGTATGTTTTGAGAAAGGTCTAAGGACTCGAGGTCTGTAATGTTGGCTAGAGAAGATGGGATTTCACCAACAAGATTGTTGTTGGATAGATTAAGTGCTTGAAGTCCTCTAAGATTTCCAATCATCATAGGGATTCTACCAGTGAACTTATTGCTTGAGAAATCAATGACTCGCAATACAGTCAATATCTTTGTGTAAAATGTTTCACTCCCCTTATTTGTCATGGTGACAACATAATTGTATTTCTCATCATAAAATGCATAGTTACTATAACCAATCCTATAATAAAACCTAAAAAAAGAGTTGGATGAGTTTCACAAGTTTTCAGTTGAAACTGTCATCGCAACCAAACTTTGAACATACCTAGATGGTAATTTACCAGATAGAAAATTACATGACAGGTCAAATATACGCAAGCAAGGAAAATCATGAACCGTTGGAGTAGACAATGGTGATGTTATCTTCCCATGGAAATTGTTATGCCTCAAGACAAGAACTTGCAACTTGGGAAGACTTATTAACCATGATGGAAAAGTGTCATTAATACGATTTCTTCCTATGTCAAGTACCTCAAGCAACGTACAATTGATTAAGGACTTTGGGAGCTTTCCCTCAAATTGATTTTTGCTTAAATTGATCATTTTTAAATTGCATGATTATGAGAACTTTTGAGGAATGACACCACTAAATTTATTGCCTTGTATGTTTAATACTTGCAATGAATCACTAAGATGATGACTAATGCAACTTGGAATCTTGCCCATAAGATTGTTTTTAGACAAGTCAAGGTAAACTAAAGATGTTGCTTGACATATATGGTTGGGAATAACTCCATAAAATTGATTGTTTGAGACTTGATAAACTTGTGTGGAGCTTGGAGGAGTTGGAAGTAGTCCTCTTAACTTGTTGTCATTAAGATCCAATATTTCCAAATTGTACCATGGGATGAAAACTAAAGGTTGTTCAAAACCCGTCAAAAGATTATTAGAAAGGTTTAAGAACAAGAGATTCTCTCTAGTTGTGTTTACAAACCATTGCGGAATTTCACCTTTGATTTTGTTTCCCGAGAGAAATAACGTTTTTAGCTCACCTTGATAACGTAGGAACTCTGGGAATTCAGTCAAGTTGCGTGATTCAAAACCTAGAATCTCAAACTTCAAAAGAGATGAATTACTTGTGCTTAGATCTCTAGGAAAGGTTAAGCTAACACCGGTCAACAACAAAATACTGAGATTTGGGAGTTCCAAAAATGAATCAAACTCGGCAACCGAGTCCCTAAATGACAATATTAATGTGCTAAGATTCACAAGTTTAGAAATCCAGTGTGGGATTGGACCTTGAAAGTGATTACCATATAGCTCTAAGGTGCGTAATTGGGTTAGATTTACAAACCAACTTGGTAGCTTTCCTGTTAACAAGTTGTTGCCAAGATCCAAAAGAGTGAGTCTAGTAGAGTTAGACAAAGAAGGTAAAATGGAATTGCGTAAATTCATTTGGCTAAGGCGTAGCTGAGTGAGTGAGTTTATCTTAGGCAACCAAGATTTCAATATTCTAGCATTCCCAACATTTGGCATGTCTGAAAGACCTAAGAAAGTAAGGCTTGTTAAGTTCATGATAGAATCAGGAAGGTCATTGCTAAAATAATTGCGACCAAGGTTTAAAACAGACAGATTTGTCAAATTACCTATTGAAGACGGAATTTTTCCATAGAATTCACTTTCTTGTAAGTCCAGTTTAGTCAAAGAGACTAGATTTCCAAGCGAAGCTGGCAACTCCCCTGAAAATCCTGTTGCATCAACGTATAAAATACGAAGAGGACTGTTAGAGTAAAATTCAGGAAATTGTCCTCCTAATTTAGGATTGAATGTCAATGAAACTACTTCAAGATTTGGTAACTGGAAAATATTTGCTGGGAATTCACCCAACAAATTGCAGTAATTCATTGAGATAGCCTTTAAAGAAGTTCGACGGCTTAAGATGAGGGGTACCTCAGATGATATATCAGTCCTATCTAGATAAAGATGGGTTAAACTACTTAAATTAGAAACCAACTTCTTTAGACTCAGATCATTAATTTTCAAATCTAACTCCTCATCGACAACCATAGGATTTCCATTAAGGGAAAGATCAAGAAGAGAAAGATGGGATAAAGTCGAAATTTCTAATGGTATTTGGCCACTGAAAACTGACTTAGAGAGATTGAGATGTGTGAGATTGTAAAGACGACCAATGTCAGAAGGGATTTGAGAATAATTGAAGTTATTATAAGAAAGATCAAGCTCACGGAGATGACTAAGGTTGAAAAGGGTGGTGTTGTGAGGGATGGTGCCATAAAGGCAACTGCTACTAAGGTCGAGGCCAATCACATGACCCGTCTCCTCATTGCACTTTACACCATCCCACTTACAACAATCACCACTTAAAGTCGCATTTTTCGAATGATGATTATGTAAATCATCATGCCATGATTTCACCTTTGGATATGCAAAGGCGGCATAAAGTGATGCTGAGCAGTTAAGAAGAAAGCTTTGCTTGAAACATAGCAATGCAATCTTCTCATGATCATGGCACAATGGCTTACGATTTTGTACCAAGGGGAATGTGGAATTAGCAAACACGAAGAAATCAGTAACAAGTAAAGAAGAAAAAGATAAAACTAGGAGGAATATGTAAGTAGTAGACCACCCAAAACCCATGGTAATAGTAATATTCAGTGTTTAGTTGGTTTTGTGAGTGAGAAACTTTTTTCTTGACAAGACCAAAGACATAACTGTGGCTTTTATAATTGTAAATGGTCGCTTGAATGTACGTTTAAGGATCACAATTGACAAGTAACTAAAGAGGAAGATGGGGCATAGCAGTTAAAGAAACATAAACCAGATATTTATGTTCAAAGAATCTAGAGGTATCATAATCCCTTTATCTTCTTTATTTCCATTATTATATATATAAAGGGATCCTGATCTGACTCGACCCGAATGACCCAACTCACGATTCGAAAATAACTTGAACTTGAACTAACTAGACACGAGTTGACACGAACGTGACCCGATGCCCGAAATGACTCGACCCGACCCGGCCTGAAACTGACTCAAAATCTGAAGTTGACCCAACCCGAAGTGACCCGAACCGTCTGACCTGACTCAAACTTGACCAAACTCGAAGTGTTGACCCTGACCCGAACCCGACTCGAATATTTGCTGACCCGAAAGCGACCCGTTTGGCAAGTCTAGGACTTAATAACTATGCTTATTAGCTACACCCTGACCTCCAGGTTATATATATGTCTCTGGCCACAAAGTGTGGTAAATCACCATAGGGTTTTTAGGTTAGTGTTTTAGGGGTTATTTTGTTACAATTATAGGAGTTACTTTGTCATATAGGTAGGGGTTACTTTGTTATTTATGGGTTACTCAATAAGTATAAAGAGGAGTTACTTTGTCCATATAATGAGGTTACCATATCAATATTATAAGGATTACCTTTTTTTTTTTTTTTTTTTTTTTTTTTTTAAGTGATCACACGAAGTGGTAAGTTGCTCAAAAAAGGCATTGAGTTTTGAGTAGATTATCAATTTTATTTATTAATTCTAATTAATGATTGTGTTTTTCTCCAAACTGCTCATATTTCCTAATTTAATATGTCTTGATTTTTTTATACAAAAGTAATATCTATAAAACGAGATTGCTCCATTTATAGATGATATGAGCATTTGCTCGAAGATTATCGAGCTAGTTGTATAGGATGATATCTAGGTAAGGCCGATATCTTGAAGAAACGCGTGACCAAATCTTGAGTAATCGTAAAAGGCGCTGATATGTACCAGAAAGCAGACATATTGGCTTGTCGGAATTCGGCACGTGGCAGCAGAAGTTTGACACTTGGCTCAAGAGGCTTTGCATGGATGAGAGCCACCTGTCAAGTTGGGTCATTATAAATAGTAGGTAAGACGTCATTAATGAGGATATGAATTACACACTCTCTCTCTCTCTCTACTTTCTCTCTCATACTTATCTTCCTTTCTTAACCACTTTCTGACTTTATCATCGGAGTGGTTATCCCCAGATCACCCCGGGGTTAGCTAACTTCTTCTCATTGTGTAGGTTCTCAGCTTGCCGATAGGGGTATCAGGATCTCAGGTTCTCAGCTTGCCGATAGGGGTATCAGGATCTCAGGTCCAGTCAGAAACAATTTGGCGCTAGAAGGAGGGGACATTGATCACTTCTATCGCCTAAGAACCTCACACAAAAAATATATATATAACAACAACAATCATGGCCGGAAACAATGAAACACCAATGACTAGAAAAGTAGTAAATCAGTCAGTAGAGCAGCCTCAGATAGAAATAGTGGATGAAACTTATACCTTGGAGGATAACCAGTTTCATATGCCGATAACCCCCCCTGAAGGTGGAGGGGAGGCAGAGGATCCTATGGCAGCATTCACACCAGATGAATTGGAGACAACAGCAAGGGTGATAAGCGCAATGAGTAAGAAGAGAAAGGAGGCTGAGACGACACATGCTGAAAGGGGGGCCGCTCAAGCCGGTAGTGGAACACCGCACCGCAATCAAGAAGAGCAATATAATCCGTTGATGAACTCGCCTAGGAGACCCCGACATGAGTCACCGGTAAGAACGCATACAATGTCACGACGGGATGAGCAATCCTCAAGTCACACCGTAAGTACAAGAACCCAGCAGCAGAGAAGTTCGCATGTAGATTGGCAGGCAGTGCGAACAGTGGTGCAGTTAAGGGCATCTCCTTTTGCCCAACATATCTTGGACCAGCCAATGGAGAAGGTGAAAATGCCGACTTGCAGGTATGATGGAAGAGGAGACCTAGCGAGGTTTATAACGTCCTATGAGGGACATATGATGTTGTATACTAACTCAGATGCAGTTTGGTGTAAGGTCTTTCCGACTACTTTGATTGGGGCTGCAGCCGATTGGTTTAACAACCTTGAAGTTGGATCGGTAGATAGTTTTGAAAGGTTGACCGAAATGTTTGTAGGTCAATATGTCAGTAATAGTGTGCGGCAGAGAACCTCTGGAGAATTGATGGCTGTAGAGCAGAGGTTAGATGAATCCCTGAGGGATTATATTAGACGGTTAAACAATGAGGCGAACACGATCCCAAAACTGCAACAAGAAATAGCTGTGATGGCTTTGATGAATGGCTTGGTTGATTCTGATTTCAAGCGTTATCTGACAAGGAAAAATCTGCCAACATTAGCAGCAGCATTTAGCAAAGCCCATGATTACATTAAGAGTGAGGAATTGATGAAGACAAGTAGTAGACATGTCGCTGTTGGAAGAGGGCAAAATCAGCATGAAGGGACATCGTCCGGAAGTAATAGGCCGAGAGCTCTTGCCCCAGGAAGGGGAGGAGGAAGTCGGCAAGATCCAAGGGCGTCAAGGCCGCCAATGAGATACAACACTTACACTCCCTTGAATTCACCAAGGGCAGCAATCTACTCAGTGAATCAAAATAGAGAAGATTGGTCAAGGTCGATTCCCATGAAGGCAAGGCCAAGAGATGTGAAAAAGTATTGTATGTTTCATAGGGATGTAGGGCATTACACAGAAGAGTGTACGCAGTTGAAAGATAACATTGAGGAGTTGATCAGAAAAGGTCATTTGACACAATACCGGTTGAACACGGGCAGGAATCAACAACCGGCACAAACAGTTGAGAGGCAACGGATAGAAGCAAGGCCAGAAAGGGTGCAAGGGGGAGTAGTCCGACAAGGAGATGTAGGAATACCGCCGTTATCAACTGGAAGGGTAGATGTGATAACGGGGGGGCCAGTTCACGGAGGAACGATTAGTGGAGAAAAGAAGCATTTGGCTGAACATCGTCATCTAGTTTGTGCCCTGGATGTGGACAATCGTCCTCGACCAGTTGCGATACCTGAGGTGGTGTTCACAGAAGAAGATGCAAGGGGTGTAGTGTTCCCGCATGATGACCCGTTAGTCTTAATAACTAAAATAAACAGGGCTGACATCAAAAGAGTGTTGGTTGATAGAGGTAGTTCAGCAAATGTGTTGTTTGTGCAAGCTTTTAATGAGATGAATATAGGGAGACAGTACCTGAAGCCGGTATCGTATCCTGTAATTGGGTTCAATGGGTCAACAGTAAGGCCAGAAGGAAGCATAGTATTACCAGTTAAGCTGGGTGATGGGCCACATGCAAGAGATGTGATGGGAGAGTTTCTGGTAGTGGACGTTAAGTCAGCCTACAATGCGATTATCGGCAGACCGATAATACATGATATGCAGGCCATTGTATCAACTTATCATTTGGCAATAGCTTATGTGTCAAATTCGAGAGTTGTAGAAAAGGTGTATGGAGGTCAGGTAATGTCAAAAGCTTGTTATGTGACTGCTTTAAAGAATCCATTTGGCAGTGCTTCGGTACCGTGCAATCCGATAAGGGAAGGTGAGCCAACAGTCCAAGACTTAACCATGAAGAACTTTGACACGAGGCCAGAGGAAGCTCCTAGGTCGTTACCAGGGGGAGAAACTGTTCAGATCCGAGTAGGACAGTGAAAGTTGGGGCTGATATGGATATAGATACAAGATGCCATCTGATAAGTCTATTGCGTGAAAATGCAGATGTCTTTGCGTTTTCAGCAAGTGAGATGCCGGGGATACATCCAGAGGTGATGCAGCATAAGTTGAATGTTGATAGAAAGTTCAGACCGATAAGGCAAAAGAAGCGCAATTTCTCAACTGAAAAGATAGAAGCAATTCAGGCTGAGGTGAATAAGCTCTTAGCGGCAGGGTTCATTGAGCCTTGCACATATCCAGAATGGTTGGAAAATGTAGTAATGGTGAGAAAGCCGACAGGGAAGTGGCGAATGTGCGTGGATTTTACAGATTTGAATAAGGCTTGCCCTAAGGATTGTTACCCATTACCTCGAATAGATAGGCTAGTAGACTCAACTTCAGGTCATTCCATGCTTAGTTTCTTGGATGCATTTTCGGGTTATCACCAGGTCAGCTTGCATAAGGCTGATAGGAATAAAACAACTTTTATAACGGATGCCGGCGTGTACTGTTATAAGGCAATGCCGTTTGGGTTGAAAAATGCAGGAGCGACATATCAAAAGTTGGTGGACAAAATATTTGAGAGGCAGAAGGGCCGAAATGTTGAGGTCTATGTGGATGATACAATAGTGAAGAGTAAGGAAAAAGAAGACCATATAGCAGATCTGAGGGAAACATTTGAGACATAAAGGAGATATCAGATGAAGTTGAATCCAGAGAAGTGTGTGTTGGGGGTTAGATCAGGGAAGTTTTTAGGCTTCATGGTCAGTGAACGAGGAACAGATGCAAACCCAGATAAGGTGAATGCGGTGCTCCAAATGAAACAACCAAAAACCATTCGTGATATACAGAGATTGACTGGTAGGATGGCAGGATTGACCAGATTTATCAGCAAGTCAGCTGACAAGGCGCTTCCGTTTTTCATGGTGCTGAGAAAGAACAAGGCATTCGAATGGGGAAAGGAACAAATTGATGCTCTGGAAGTAGTAAGGAATTGTAGGGAATAGTTTCAAGCCTTTAAAAATCCCACTAGCTCGAACCCCACTGTGATCATACACTAAAGTACGGTGGCGTCCAAAAGGGAAGAAGATAGAGCAAAAGAGTCGCCAACAAGTTTTTAAGGAACTTGTAAACCGTTCACGAGGTGAAGGTTACACCCCTTAACGATCCAAGAGATCGTCAACTCCATAAGGTCATGAACCAAATAAGGGTTCGGGGATGATGGTACAAATCCAACCTAAAAGAGATTGAACCTACCCTAATAATAGGCCTCTACTTTATTCTGCTCGTATTCATGTGCGCTTTCTGATTAACATGCAATCAATAGGATTAACCCTAAACCTTTTTAATCTATGTTGGTTGAATTTAATGCACAAATAAACTATTATTGGCGATCACTTGAATTTATAATCACAATTAACCCTAACAAGATTATTAATTATCTTATCAAGCGTGATTGCAAATACCAATTCCCTTTAAACATGCAATAAAGGTGATCAAGCAATAACAATATATAATAATACACATCAAGCAACATAATAAATAATCATCATCAATCATAATCATAAATGTTAGAAAGAACATAGGAAGCATCATACTTTTAATCACGCTTAATATTAAAAATACCCTAGACATGATACTAGGAATCATCAAAATAACAATTTAAGCATGATATCTACATCATGAAATCAATTAAACCATTAAAGTACTTACTTGGATGCCTCGTACCTCTTTCTAATTACAAAATACACACGTTAGTAACTTCAAGGAAAATAGTAATCAAAACAATTAAATTAAATAATTGAAATAGAGATTAGGGACCAAACCCTCAGAAATTAAAACGTTTCACGTCTAGGGCGAAGGCAACTTTGAATATAGCTAGGTGTATCTAGATCTTGTGAATGCGGAATTTTGTGTTAAAAAATAAAGTTTAGAAAGAATGAATGAAAGATTAATGATTCATAAACTAATTTGTTGACGATTGAAGATTGTAGATGATGAATGAAAACGGAATTTATTAAAACTTAAGAATAAAAGAAGTGGTGAATGATAGATGATAATCCGTCCATGAAAACGGAGTTTTTGATACGATATTTATAGAGAAAATCAGCCAAAAAAGATAATTTATCAAAACAGAGTCTGAAGATCGCAAAACCACCTTGGCGCCAGCCCTGGCTCATTGGCGCCAGGACCAGTGGCTAGCGTCAGGCGCCAATGGCTGGCGTCTGGCGCCAATCCTGATTCCAGGCGCCAAGGCCTGGGGTTGGACGCCAAATTGGATTTCAACGCGTTTTCGAAAATCTGATAAATTTCCGTACTGGAAGATAAAATAATATAATTTCAGTCGAAAATGCTATTTGATCTAATTAAAACTCTAAAGAATCCTAATTGAATTAAGAATGATAAGAACCTTCTAGAAACTTCTAGAAGACCAAAACCATTCCTAATTACATTAGGAATGATAAATCATATTAGGCCCTCCCCTAGATCATTGGGCCGTACTTAAAGCTCAAACCGGGCCCAGTTTAGTAAATTGGCCATAAATTCCTCAATATTCATCGGAATTGGGCTTATAATATATCGTTGGAAAGGTCTTTGCAAGCCCCATCCAACTACACCACTATTGGACCCATATCATGGACCAACAAAACTGGATTGGCTGTTTTATTAAAATAAAAGTTTTCAAAAACAGAGACAAGAGAAAAGAAAAGAAAAGAAATAAAACTTTCCGCAACACTAGACCTTTCCACACTTTCGTTTCATTCGATTATGATTCGACGTGAAAGGCACTCATCACTGGGTTTGGTTTTTGGAAGACACAAATGAGTGTCTACAGAAGCCCCCACTTTGACTGAGTTTGGAGAAACGCAAGTTTCGAAAACGAAAGTCAAAGTATCGAAAGGGACGGAGAATGATTCAGAACGTTCTGCGATCCTAAATCAATCTTATAACGCCGATACCTGCAAAACTTAGCATTAGTTAAACAGATAAAAGAGTTAAGAAACGCGTATCTTGCACCGTCGAGCACACGTCTCTGAAAGTAACTGATTGTTTTGATGACCTCCTGCAAGCTAGAGAATGTCATCCCCCTTGAAAACCGCTACGCCCGTAACTGCTTCCAATTTAGAAGATTGCTTCTCTTGAAACTATCCTCTCCGTAATGATAATATTCCACATCCTAGGGAATACCATCGAAAATTATTTCTCTTGAAATAATTCTCATCCGCATTATGATCACGTTCCATGCCTCAGGAATTATGATCGAAAACAATTTCGCCCGAAATTACCTTCAGTTGTTTGTGACAACTTTCCGCAAGCTAGGGAATGATGTCGAAGACATCTTCTCTTGAATTCATCCTCATTTGATGCGATAATCTCCCAAAGGAAAATACCAAAGATCCACGCCCGTCGATCTTTAAAAGTTCGCCTGAACTTTGCTTTTTTGCTATGCCTGTACGTCGGCGCTCTTTTCTCTTGAACCTATATGTCGATGCCTTTTGCTAATGAACCTGTATGTCGGTGCCTCTTGATAATGAACCTGTATGTCGGTGCCTTTTGCTAATGAACCTGTATCTCGGTGCTTTTTGCTAATGAGCCAATGCTTAGGCGCTTTAAGCTTAGTGAGACGATCTTTTCATCCGGTCGATCACTTCATGTAATCAAGCCGATTACCTAATCATGTCAAATTGCTTAGAGGGGCTAACTGGCGTACCAAGGAACCCAAAATATATTGCAGAAGGCTGGCACTTCCCCAAAAGGTGGCTGGCTGCTTTGGCGTCGCTGAAAATCAATCAGCGCCAAACATATGGCATTAGCGCCATGCGCTGAAATTGGCGTCTGGAGCCAAGCACAGAATGTGACGCCAATGCTTAGGGACTGGCGCCAGTACGGGAATCACTTTAAATTCCCGTTTTCAGTTCATTTCGTGCTCTGGTTTGTTGCGAACGCTGCTCGAAAGAAGTCGAAACTTCAATTGATCGTTGCTCATTCGTTTCTCAACCGAATTTGCTCAAATTTGTTGCAAATCAAAGCTCTTTTCATCCATATTCCCGATCTATGTAAGTTTTCCTCCAACTCACACCGGTTTTTATGAATTATTGGCATGTTCATTCACGAATTTCATGTAAATTCGAAACTTATAATGCTCAATTTTCTTTGTTTATCAAACTTCATGCCATGAAATTGCTTGTTTATGTTTGTATATTTCTTTGGGAGTAATTTGAGACTTGTTTGACTCAATTTGGTGAAGAAATGAGCAATCCGCCATTGTTGGACCTCCTAAGGTCGTGAAAAACAATGTGACTCGTTCTTGATGTTTTTGCTAGCAATTCTTGTTCAATTTGTCACAATAATCACTATAGTGTTGCAATAAATTGTTTGATTGCTTAAAAAATGCTATCATGCTCAATTGGAATTTGTGCTCTGTTTTAGTACTACGTACTCTGTATTTTGCGAACATAGTATCATGCGGCTAGGAAAACCTTTAAATACTATAGAACCTTGATTTATGATGATTCTGCACAATGTAGCACGGCTAGAAAACGAGGCTCAGGTTCACGGTCCCGAAACACTAGACGGGAGCATGAGCCCGTGGAAGATGACACCACACCGTCCACTTCGCTTGGTCAGTTCCCAGAGTGGGATGAGCGGACCTTGTTCTTTGCCCCTGTCCACCACATTTCTGAGAGGGTGAGACGGGGAATCGAGCCTGGAAGGACACGGCATCACGGCTCTGGCTGCGATGGTCTCGACGATTTGTATAGGATGCATATCGCCAGAGATCGAGAGACGAGACTCCTATGGGAGTCTTGCGGACTGGTTGCCCTGTTTGAGACCTTCGAGGCTATGGTCGCCTCCAGCGGGGGTCACCACGTAGTACGCGCTCTGGTGGAGTTCTTTTGGGACTCCACCAACACATTTCATTTTCCATGGGGTGAGATGATGGTCACTCCTACAGACTTCAGTCTTATCACAGGACTGGAGTTCTCTTCTGTGCCGCT